TTAGATTAATATCGTGAGGGTCGATGACCCTCGTATCAGATATTAAACTGATAAGAACAGATACTACACTTGATCTTAGCCAAAAGGCCGAGAAAGGTATGCTTACACCTCGAACTTGATAGTTCATAAGAGCCAAGTGACCTCTCATCCTTCACTCTGTTTATGGGTTTTCCAAACAAAGTCTCACCTTCTCGGTCGGATCCCGATCCTCGCATACGTACGTAAAATGTTTCTCAAACGCTCGCGTGATTCTCTTTGGCCCCTGGTGTCATCAATAGGCAGTCATGAACGACTATGAATATACGGAAAAGCTATGATGGTGATTGTATCTTCGAAGAGAAAATAGCGACATCTATTATTCGAAGTGTGAACATAGCACAAGTAGGAACAGTATAGAGATGGAAAATCTAGATCTCTGGGATATGGATGGAAATACACACAGTCAAGACAAGACTATGCAAGAAGGGAATATCTCATAATATCAGATGCATGATATTCTACTTTTGCTTTGATTTGAAAAGAATAGAGACTCAATCCACAAAAATGGAAAGTGGTTAATGTGTACAAGATCAACCTCATAAGATATAGGATTATAGACTTTCAGTGGGACCCATTGTCAAGAAACATTCTTTTAACACGACACACATTGTGGACAACAATTATTTTAGTTGTGAATAGTACTTTGAATTATTGTAATAATCACTAGATATACTTCTGGAAAGCCATAAAATTGATAAACTTGATATCAATTGAAGCTTCGACTTTGCAGAACCTTTAAAGTTGACTCTATCATATAGTCAGCGTGTGATCATCAAGTTAAAAAGACTTTTATGTATCTAAATGGATTCAGTTGATGATCAACTAGCAAATACATACCAAAATTTTTCTTTTTGTCCACAATTAATCAAACGCATCATCAAATTTAATCGTGTATTATAATTACATCATATTTACTAATTTTAAGAATAGATTAGAGTTTTGGAATTTATTTCCATCCTTTAAATAGTTAATTTCAATGTGTTGATTTAGAATATATAATCAATATGAATGTGAAAAATCTCTAATGTCCGTAATACTATATATCATGTTATTGATCAAAAAAGGAGAAAAAAATTATATCTATCTACAATGGTTACCTAACTCAGTTTTTAAAGCTCTCAAAATATGTCATGATTTCAAAGCAATTGAATTCTATGTAATATATATAAAAAATAATAATAATTTAGTAAAATAAAGATTCATATTGAAAAAATACATTTTTTGTCTCATATTTCAACGATTTTTTCCGAGTTTTTTCAGTACTTCTTTCTGAAATTTTCACTAGAAACTCCAACTTATAATAGAACAAACCTATAACTAAGTTCATTGATAAATTTCTATTTTTGATGACAAAAACTTTAATCTTCTTTTATCCAAATAACTATTCAGTCTTTGTGCAAAAAATTACAGAGGGTTACTTATATTTCTTCTAAGAAGGAAAATCTTGTCATATTATTATCAAAACATTTAAACACTAATTGAACTCTTATTTTCTAACAATATGACTTTCAGCAATTATCTCATATGATCTAAATTAATATTCTTATCATATACTAGGAAGGTAATCAATAGTTGATTAAATTTGTTTGCTAGTATTAAGTGGATTGAAAACTGGTGCAATGAACTTCTTAAAATCAAATTTTGAAACATTTTATAGCATTTTATGACAGCCATCATTTATATTGTGCACATAAAACTTCCACTCATTTCTTAATCATGATTTGAGTTCAAAAAAGCATTTTGCTTGTAAAAGTATTCTTTTCTAGCACTTTGATACTTAAAATTTGGATTCAGATATTTACACCCTTAAAAGCCGAGTATGTTACAATTGAATCATTATTTAGACACACAAGTGAAACGATATGCATGAAAAAAAAGTATTGATCCATTATCTGAATCATCATTGCTCTCTTCAATAAAATTTATTTCTTTTGAAGAAAATTCAGTTATCTCAAAATTAGAGATCATACATATTGAATTTAAGTATAGTAATAATAATATCTCAGTTCAAAAGATGTGAAATTAATTGCAAAGAAATATGATTTTCTATTACTCAAACCCTAGAAGTTTTTTGCAAGATTAATATTAGTGAAAGCAATTTAGGTGATAAATACCATAAATTAGCATGATAATTTTATCATATTCTATAAATGGAGAGGTGTGAAAAATACTGTTCAACAAGTTTGGAGAATTTTTTTTTATAATGAAGAGTTCAGCTTTACAAATTAGCTTGGTATATCTATAGAAAATTATATAATAAATAGAGAGATTGTGTGAAAAAGTATTTAGATACGAAAATTTAGATTGATGTCAAAATTCTTGAATCATAAATGAAATAAACTATACGAAATAAAACTAAATTAGAATAAGTCAGGAGGTTACATACATATATGCATTACGTAAAACATTGGAGGTCATTTCACCAAATTGAAAATATGATGGACATCCAAAATATCTAATCTATGAAAAATTGATAACAAAGAAGTAAAATGATCAGAAAGTTCTAAGGGGATTGAAAAATAATCATAAATCTGACCATCAAAGATTCCAAATTCTATTTGCGAGACATCTTTTTTACTATACACATTAACAAAATATCCTTAATTAATTAGTAAATTCAGTTGATGTTTTGCAATTCAGAAATTCCATGCAAAATGACATACAAAATAAAAATAAAATATTTCAATTATTTTTTCTATATTTTTCCGATTCGGTCTCATGGAAGATGATAGCTAATTATCTCGATCGTCATTGATTGATTATTGACACACTATAATGGTAAAACTCATTGTTGAACATTGGATGCAAACGATACATCAAATAAAGCTCTCTTCGTGCTTAAAAGATTGATTCCTCTAGTAAGCTTGTATAGATAAGCCATTAATTTGTCAATGATGAGAATTTTGAGCAAAAGTAAGCGGCATCTACAGATGTCGTTGTACCTTCCAAGGAGAATTATGCCAATTCTATTGGAATTGACAGCTCGTGACTATCTCCTGCATTATTGGCTCTACAGTAGAGACGGAAGATAACGGATTATGGGGACGGATCAAATGCCTTTTGACAAACGATTGGAGAGTAGCAAGAGCCGACGTTGGTCATGTAGCAAGACAGCTTGTTGTATCATAATTCACTATTTCATCCCAGATTCAGTAGTTGTCTCTAGTGCTCCTCAAATATGTAAAATAATCTTCAGGCAGTTTGTACCGCGAATAAGTTCAAGAGACTGCTAGCTTGAGACCTATTCATGGATCCATCTCTTCACGTGAAGGGGATAGGGTATTTTTGGATCGCTCAAAATCCTATCTCAAAATTCTTGCCCGATGGTTTGGAGGAGCTTGACTTGCACATAGGGCCGAATATATCAGAACGGAATTATATACACTCAATGGCGGCTCTCGAACTCGCTTTTCGAACTAGAAAAATCAAAAGTATGAGAAAAAATATTCTAAATGTGGCGGCATCCGCATAATTGGATGTTGGAACGAAGAAGCCGCATGGTGGATGATAGACAAGACTAAAGCTGTAGTGGGGCAGGCTGAAGCCCACGAGTGTGGGAAAAAGTTTTTGTTTGGTTGAAAAAAATATTTTTAATTGAGAGGTGCTTTAGTATTAAAATTGGATAGGCCTTTCTTTGATGAGGTTAGACGTAGTAAAGCCGGGAGCAAAGATGCAGAGAGGTGAGTACCGAGAGATTGCAGTTCAAACTTGTGTGGGAGTTGAGAAATATACTCAAATAGATCCATTTTTTTGCAAACTGATAGATTGATTTCAATTTAAATTTAGATATTGGTGGTGATAAACATTTTGTTGAAGTTGGAAGATTGATTGCTTCGAGAAATTCCATTGCGTGCTGACTGAAATTTAAGCATGTTTGCTTAAGTTTGTGTAATGTAGTGTAAGATCAGACACTTTTCCATGTGTCAAGAGAGAAGAATATGGAAATAAAAATATGCATAAAAATTCATATGATATCATTTTCAGGTACTTAAATGATTCCAGAACAACAATATTCATATAACACCAAGCAATGAAGTTCTATTTAATGTAAATAAATCATATATATCACCTTATCATATATTTTTTTTAAATTTTCAATTTCAAAACCCTTGACACTTCTCATGTGAAATGCCGCCTACTAAAACATTAAAATCTAAGAAAATATAATTATCTACTTGACAATACATGATATTCTAACCAAATCCCGAGACAGAATCGAATGTCCAATCTACACACATTCTGTGAATTCTTCACTTGACCGTGATTTATTTAAATACGAGCTAAACCAACATCAGAAAAGGAAATTGTGTGGCGATATAGAAAATGCAACATCCGCCATAGTAGCCTGCTGGACTCATGGGTCAAGAGGATGGGTCAAGGGAATGAGCATCGACGGTGCTCTTCTAGTCGCTTCCGCACTTGCAGGCTCAGGTTCGGTGCTGCGAGTGTCGTGCAGGGCCTGATGAGGCTGGTGAATCTGCAGACGGAGATCCCTCTTGGACTTGGCCACCGCTTACCAACACGACACGACGGGGAGACCTTCCAAAAGAGGGTCATCGTCAGCGCGCAGAAAATCATAAATTGTGTGAATGGTGGGGGACTCGGGTACGGCATTGGGAACATCGAGAGCCCCTGCAGCAGCTGCTGGGTCCCTCCCTCCCTCCCTCCCTCCCTGCGTCCATCTATCTATCTATTTGTCTATCTGTCTGAGAATCCGTTCGAGATTGGCACTGTCCGACAAGGTGTCAATGGGCACCTACGAGAGCGAAGTGCGCAGGGGTGCAGGTGCAGGCACCATCGCCAGTAATAATTCAGAGCAATAACAGAGAAGTATTTACTGATGTGTACACATGGGCTGCAGCTTTTGCCGAACCTACGCGTTCACTCGCTCGGACCGGGACCGGGTATTTTGGCCGACGATCGCCTGGAGAGCAAGGCAGCCCAGCCCGGCCCAGCCATTCGTGCTGCTGCCTCGCAAAGGAGGCCGATGAGTTTTTCTGCTTTACCGTTTGTTTCCCCGACCCTGTGCTCGTGGAGTTCGTAAATTTGGACCCAGCGAGTCCGTGCTTGCGTGCGTGCGTGTGTGATTGTTTGAGTATTGCATCGCTTGTCGATGGTGGCCAAGCCGAAGAAGAACCTTCTCTCCCGAAAATGTGGAGAGGGTCCCCCGATCGCTCCGGAAGGCTGGAAGTGGAGAGCTGGTCTGAGGAAGCAAGATATGTATTTTACAGCTCCTGATGGCTCGAGTTTCCGGTCCAAACGACCGCTGAATGAGTACTTGAGGACTCTGACCAATCCTCCTGCTCCTGCAGACTTCTGTTGGTCCGTCACTCCCGAAGGTGAGACTCGTGAATTCTCAGACATCTGATTCTGTTTCTCGATTGCAGCTCTTGGCACCAGTTTCAGAGTTCCTCGATTGTTGCTCGATTTGTGGCGTAATCCGTTCTCCTTCTTTTGTCTGTGTGTGTCTGTGTGTGATGCAGTCCTCGATCATCCTGCTATGCAATCTTACAAAGCTGCAACAGCACCTAAGAGGACTGCCAAGTTCAAGAAGCAGGCAAAAGCTTCGACTAAACCTGGGGTAGAGCCCGCTGCCAAAAAACCCAGAAAGTGATCGGTTGGCATCTCCGGGACACGGGGTTCGATCAAGCATGGATCAGGACTCTACAAGAAAGTGTCTCCTCATGTATGCTGTCAGACTTACTAATTTATCTTCTTGTATTCGATATTCTCATATTTGACTGTAATTGTGCACGAGAAAATGCACAACCTATATATTGGAGGTTCATCTTGACAAACAGAGCGTCCTCCTTTGAGCTTTTTGTACAGACTTGTGGCTTAGTTCGAAGAATAATGTATTCGAATCTGACGAACAGAATCTCTTTCTGTTCGTCAGATTTGTTCACAATTTGGGGTGAACACCATCTTTCTTCGTCGTCGGGGTTTCGAGGACCGGAGGTTTCGAGGACCGTTTCACACTGGAATGCGAACATTGTTGAATTGTTTCTCCGTTTGGTCAACTCTCAACTCTTAGAAACACTTTTTCTCCACCGTGTAGCACGTCCACCTCTGCTAGTGAATCATAGGGCTAGACTCAGAATATGTCTTGCATGACTGGATGAAATTTTCTTTCTCTTTATCAAGTGGAATGTTTAAGAGAATTCCTACCTTATCTCCCGTTATTAATTTCAGCACATTTTCTCCGCATTCAATTGTTTTGAACTTCACTTGTCAAGCATTGTTTTTGCAACTGCTAGTTCAGATGCTCTGCACTAGCAGAGCATCTGAACTAGATAAGAACAATAAATAATGAGTATTTACAGATCATATCTCATAGTGCTGTAAGATTCTATTATCTTTTCAATCTCAAATATCAAACTGATCGAAGTAAATGAACTTCTCACTTGACCTTCCTTCATCTTTTTTCCAAATACCATCGAACACGGTTGTACTAATTACACAAGCTTTCCAAATAGTGTCTATAATGTAAATTGGAATCATCTAATTGTAAAGCATCTGGTAATGCTGAGAATTCCATCTTCACCTCGTTGTATATCTCCACAGCTTTTTACTTCCAATCAATGTAACAGGTAACTTCACCTCGTGACACATACACTTCGTGCCCGCAGCGTGATGGCTCGGCCTGAAGAGTCGGAGCTGGAGATTCATTTAGTCTAAATTTAGAAGCTGGAATTTACCTCTTCCATTAATTGGTTAAGCTAATGCATGTACACCACGGCACCATGTACTGAGGAGGGTAACTCCACATCAGGTTTCTTCCTCATCGCTGTCCTGTTGCAAAGACTTTGTCTGATTCTAGACATTAATATGAACCCAGAAACTATATGAAGGATACCAAGTTTATTACATGATTTATTTATATTTCTAAACCACATACTCTACCTTCAATCATATATATATATATTTATATTTATATCTACACTTCGGTGTGTACCAAAATGAATATTCCAGCGTCTACTACGAGGCAGATACTCCCTTAAAACATTAGGTGGAAAGAAGTTTCAAATTGTAGATTACGTTTATGGCCTGGAAGCTGTAGGTGGACTACTTTCGGCAATCGGCAATGCAGGGATATCCTTCGTTGATCTAACGGAGAATACTGGATTGCAATTAGGCAAGTCCTGCGAATCATGCACTTGCAGATGTGTATTCAGAAACTCAATTTCCGTTGTAACAAGTATCAAATGTTGGTTTCTGTAAAAAGAAAAATATCTGCATGATTGCGCCTCTCTTGTGGTTATTCAGTCTCTACCTGTGACAAGAGTACCGGCTGACAATCTTGATTCCATACTGACGGGTTCGAAAGTCCGCACTTAGGCCGACCTAGTAGCGAATTTTGGATAGGAAGGTTTCTGCGGTAATTCATTGACAGTATTGGGAGTTGTCGAATCATATTCTGTTGAGCTGTCATTTGAGACCGTTCTCATTCCCCGACATCAGGAAGAGAGCTGATTGTGTCTTGCTTACAAGTCTTTGTTATGCATGAAATACATTTATGGATCTGTTAGAATATCTCAATACAAATTACTAAGGTAAAAGTAAATTTTTAAGTTCTACACAACAATGAAAAAAAGCAAATTTTTTTTCTTAATTTTCTTCAAGTGAACCCGATCTGAACATCAAAGCACTTTCATATATAGCTTCTGGGTGTTTACTAAAAAAGCTCATAAGATTTTATCGGACTATACCTTTATCTGTCATCTTGCCGTGAAGTTTTTGGAGAATATCGGATCTGCAACTTATGGGAAACTTATGGGAAGTTAGCCCTTATTTTTTAGGCCCGCCTGAAATCAAGTCAGCTAGAAATCATCTATGAGTTCAGACTTGTTTGCTCCCAGAAATAGATTCTCTAATTGGTTTGTGACAACTTGACAGACGCTTCCTTTTATATAGATTTTGGACACACACCAACTTTCTGAAGTTTTATTGACCTCTGGCAAGACGTTAAATTGAACAAACTCCGTACCTACGATTGAATTCTGTTGGCAGTGAACATGAAAAATCAGTTATGGCGTTCCAATGATAGGTTCTTTTCAGCAGTACATCCGCTTCATTTTCCAAGAATTCTGGAAATTTAAGAAATAGAAATTTCACTGTGTGTCTGACCGGTAAGGGGTTACATCCAGTTCTGGATGTCGATATTATGAAAAACCTGCTCTTATATATCCGCTGATAGAAATGAGGCGCAACTTGCACCAGTTGAAGATGTACAAAGGACTTGCAAACTATATGTTCGAAAGTAAGATCTTAATTGAAGATAGAATGGTTTCAGACATGTGTGCTGGATCATACTGGGTAAACATGAGGCTTCTTTTTCCAATCTGCCAAAATTTACGACATCAAGTTCTACATTCACACCCGGGTATAGTACATCAGAATCGTCAATCTGTCCCTGTCCAAATTTCGGCCATGAACCTTTATGACCACCAGAAGATTAAGTTGCTTTTCTTTTAGGTAGGAAAGCATTTGTATCACACTCGACTGTGCTCAACTTGCGCTAGGATTAGAGACATGAGCAAGACTTCGATGTTAGTGGTGTCTGGAGGCAAATGATAATATAATACGCTACGCAAGAATTGGTACCTAAACTCAGGACCAAATTGCACGAAAAGAGAGACTAAATCTATCTCTGAATTTTAACATATGTACATCGACAGTAGCCATTCGGAAATCTATAGACCCACTGTTATCGGCATGGTGAGTACTTCCGGACTCCATTACGCAGTTAAATATCCTCTTTGAGATCAGTAAGGCACAACGCTCATTTAGTCCTTCAAGTTTTAGCACTTTCTTTAAGGAATGTAGATTATGAATTGGACTCGATTGGGACTGGTGGATCGCTTGAAAACGACTCGTGAAGGATGGGCTAAAACTGGACGAAATGGGGCTTCAAGTTTTATATTGACCTCTTTGAACATGCGTATTAGCACCCTGTTCTATAAAGAGGTAACGAAGAGTAGTCCCACTTCGATAACATGATGCCATACTATCAGCAAATACATTTATGACCTCGATGCTCCTTGAGCCACAAGAGGGAGAGAGACAGAGAGATTTTCGTGTCGTTTCTTTGGAAAAGCTGTACATGAAATTGTATGTATAAATCTCTCTTCAGAGCTATCTAACTGGCAAAATTTACATTAGTTGCAAGAACTGGTGCACCTTGTCGTGCGTGTTCCCACTCGCAAGCAGCTCGGCACTGCCCAAACTTAAGGGACGACAAGACAAGAGGGCAATATACGGCGTACACACGCTTTCAGTTTCGGGATCATCTCCTCTATCTGATCCCCATCAGCCTGATTTTCATCTTCTTCATAGCTTCCATAGTTGCAACTCAGTGTCACAGGACACCTCCAAATTGCAACTAGCTGCTCTCGAAGACATCCATCCATGCCTCCATCACTCCGCCGCTTAGCAGGATCGCTGCACTAATGGCGCAGAAAATGGATTTCTTTGCATGAAAGCGAACTGGAAAGCCAACGCGATCTGATCAGATACTGCGGAAAGCTTCTCGAGCTCACTCTGCAGCTGAAAAGGGTATATGCCCGAGGGTATATGGGCAACAGACAGACCGCCGTCGTGAGTTGTGGTGCCCTGCTTCAGCGAATCGTCTCACGAATCCGGTCCGACGAACTACTCCCCAGGAATAGTTCATTGACAGCGATAAACCTCCACACTTACAAGTAGATCGATCACTCGCGTACTCACGTCCGGGCATGAAAGTGTTCAAGGTGGGAAACAGATCCCAACCAAGCCCTCCCGACAACCCTCCTGGCACGCGCAATGAGCAAATCTGCAACCTTGGGACGAATCACCTCTTCCGAAGGACCCAGAGACTGTCATCGTTTTGGGCCGTTCCATAAGAAGAAACAGCAGGAGCACTTCATCACAGAATTTCCTGCCAAAAGCAACCATCCCACGACCATGAAATCAGTGGCAACTTTTACAAGGGGGAATGACAGTAACTGAGCAAAAGGCGAAAGACGACTGATGAGATTCTTTGTTGAGGCATGAGCCAGCTGCATAGAAAGGGTTCAAAACTCCGACACCGCCACGAAATGAATTGAATGGAATTTAATGGACGAGGACGAGGAAGAAGATGTGCAAGCTTACATTCATTTGTTCGAAGGCCTGCGGTCCCCACAATTCTTTGCGCTCGCTCACTCGCATGGCCTCGCAAACGATGGCCCATTTGCCCACCTTCTTCTCCGGGGTCGCCCACCAGGTGTAGCTGAGCTCGATCTCTCGGATGGACTGATTGATCCGCAGGGCGCCAAGGAGCTCTTGGTAAGCTTCGTCGTTCAATCCCCTGCAGCTGTGGAGTCCGAGTTTTTCGAGTTTGGTGTTGTGACGCAGCGAGCGGAATAGGACCTCCATGTTCGAAATGACGCATCCCTCCAGAGCCAGTTGTTCCAGGACGTGGTTCGTCTCGAGGGATTTCGCCAGAGCCGACACCCCCTCGTGGTCGATCTCGTGGCCGAACAGGAGGAGCTTGATCTTCTTCACGCTCCGGTTGATCTGCAGAGCTGAGAATAAGTGTTGCACGCAGGGACGGGATGCAGCATCGGAGAGGTTGGACCTGGAGTCGTGAATCTTGAGCACTTGGAGCTTCGAAGAGGATTCCACCAGTGAGCCCAGCTCTCTCCAAGCCTCGGAGTCGAATCCGTCTCGCATGTCCTCGAGCTGAAGGTTTCTGACGACTCCATTCCGTTTGAGAGTCCTGAAAATCTGCTGCCACTCTCCGCTGCCGAGAGACACTCCCACCAGATCGACTTTCTCCAGGTTTCTATTCGCGGCTACTGTCAGCGAGACGATTCTCTCGGGCATGCGCCTGTGCAGATCGTCGAGCGCCATCATCTTCAACTTGCTGAGGCTTTTCTTCGAACAAAGGAGGCAGCTGGAATCCAACACTCGGCGCAGGAATGCAGCAAGAGCTTCGACGGGACCGGCAATTTCCACCTCTTTGAAAGACTCATGCTCGGATAGAACTCCGGCCCATCTCGCTGCATCTCCGGCATCGTCGCATCTCCATTCGGCGCCCGGCATCGCCTGGAGTTTGGGGCAAGCTCGAAGAATCGAGCTGACCGTGTCGAAGACTCCATCTTCGATCGGGTTGAGGTAGAGGCGCAAGTTCTTGAGCGACGGATGGCCGTGCGCGACCAACGAGTCGACGATGAGAGGATTCAAGGCACTGTCGACGATGTGGAGGGTTTCGAGGCTGGAATTGTTCCTCAAAAATCTGGCCAGGCTCTTGGACCCGTCCTCTGTTTCCAAAATCTCGTTCCCGTCCAGAATCAGCTCCACCAAAACCTCGCTCGACTCCAAGCGCTCCAGGAGATTTTCCAGCTCGCCCAGAGCCAGGTGGAACCGGGGCAGCTTGTGCGAGTTTCCAAGATCGAGGGCCCGCAAAGTCTGACACTCGCCGATGGCTTCGACGAGCATCATCCTGATCGTGGCAATCACTTCCGCCGACAAATTCATCCACTTCTGATCTGCGCCTCCGAAGAGGGCGCCGAATCCAGGACTTTGAAGCTCTCTCAGGCCCAATGAATGGGGGGCGTCTTTGGACCGAAGCTTCACCAGAAGATTGCTCACGGCGGCGGGGATTCTCCATGGTTGGGCCGCCCACGCAGGGCTCAGTGTGCCCCTGCCATCGTCGTCCTCCTCTTCAAGCACGCTCTGTGCGGTAGGGGTTGCACGGTGCTCGAATTGTTGATTCGGAGGCCTCCACTGCACGTCGTTCGCTTGCAGCAGCTTCATTCCGTGGCAGCCACCGTTGCTCTCTTCTTCGCCACCCTCGCCAAGCTGCAAGGTGTTGCTTTTCTCGAGTACCATCGTACAGGTCTCAGGGCTGGTCACATTGGTTATCTTCATGCTCGGCAGGTGCTGTTTCGAAGTCAGCTGATTCTGGGACTCACTCACTGCTTGATACGAACTCCCTGTTGGGCATGCTCATACATGTAGCCCGGAATCGATCTGATTTCACAGGCAGGAGATTTGGGGGCGATCGGGATTATTATTCTCCTGGAGTGGAGTGGAGTGGAGTGGACTAACTAACAACCCGGGGGCACTTTCGGGGCGGAATGCAACTGCGGGCCGAGAGAACTTTCGTACGATAAAAAGTTGGATGAGAATCTGAGGCCCTGGGAAAAGGTGTGAAGCGACGTGGGGGTTGTTGGCTGATCTTCAGCCCCCTCCCCCGAGTTAGAGCGAATCGAATGCATCTAGGAGGGTATCACCGCAGGTCGTTTTGCGCCTTGTAACATAATACACGGTTGATGCTTCTGCCGAAGTAAAGCTCTGCACGTGCAAACAACACGTACGTACGGTACAGGCACAGAAGGCCGATCTCGAAAATGCCCACGTCCGGTCTGAAATCTTTTCAGGACCCCTCGAACCGGAATACAAGTACTATTGCTATTGCAGTCAGTCCGAAAGCGTTCCTGTTCGCCTCAAATCGACTTGCTCTTTCTCTTGTTCTGTAGAGTGCTGCCAGTTCACAATCATCCATGTCGACTGGTCAAAGAGCTGAAAGTTGCTTCCATGAGTGCCCTGCCCTATCCGGCCGAGCCTATCTACGAGTAGATGGCCTCTAGACTCGACGAGATCAGAGTCGGTCAAGACGTGAGCCTACGATACTGAGTAGGAATCGGCGCCGGCTCGGTGGGTTTGTTTGTCACGAGTTTTAGAGTTCCTTCCCCACATACATACGTCTGGAGCTGAAAGAGTAGATACTGCGACCTCAACCTCAACGATTTGTCTCAATCATTATCGTGTCATGACGCTATCATGGATCACATCGAGTTGACGAACAAATACTATGAAACATGCTTTCGGTACTTTGATGAGGGATCCCCTCGTCGCTTATGGGTAAGTTTTGAACTGCCTCCACTTTTATTATCGAGTCCTGGTTAGCACGCAAGTTTAGTAACAAGCCTTGTTTGCGGTTGAGTTCTACCAAACCTCGGGAGACGTGCAGCTGTGGTCTGTTGAGTCAGTTACCAACAACCATCAATGCGCTCTTTTCCTCATGACCCGTACTGATGTACTGATGGTGATGTGATGACGCCTATCTATGACGATCCAGTGTTCTAGCTGGGCTGCGCATTGTGTTCCATATCCTACAAGACTTATTGCATTTCATTCGTGCCGATATCTTTCCTTTGTCCAAGATCCACTTTCATTGTAGACTCATGTGCGTAGGGTCGAAACTCGAATCTACGCACGCGCTTGATAGGGGTCATAACTTCTTCACTGACGTGCTCGGTTTGGAGAAAACCTCTTGAAGGCTCTCTCTGTGTCTCTCTCTTTCTCCCAGATCTGACTTCGGTCTATCTCATGAAAATGTCGTTGTGGAGGACATTGGATTTGGATACTTCTGTCCTCAATAGATCAATACCCATGCAATTAATTACATCCGTTCCAGCTGAGAAGTTTGATGGAAGGTCCACCAACTTTAAAGTGCAGCCGAGTCGGACGCATCTCGATGTCCTTCCACCTACTCCGACCAGTGCAGCCAGAGCCTTGGTCGCTCAAAACCGTTCCTGCCATACATAGTGCAGGTTCAATCCTGAGAGGAAACCCCCGTAGACCATTAAGGATGTCATTGTCATATATTCGTAAGTACACCTTGCGCTCTCCTTTACAACGAGGCTTGTTAATGGGGGTGTGCGAGAATGGAAACACATCCTCGTTCTACAGGACGGTACGATTCTGATCTTCTAGGTCCATGCATAGCAACAATTTAACCACAGAAACTCTTCCACTGCAAAGAAACCATTACGAACTGCCCACAGCAGTCCGAGGCATTTTTCAGAAATACGGAGCATAGCCTTTAGATTTGGAAGGTAAACTCGGGTTATGCCTATCGAAAGTGGCTTAGCCTCGAACATGAATTATCAACCTTGACTCTACTGAAGTTCAAGGACTTGAACATCTGTGATTCCCCAAAGTACCTGCCTGTAAGCCTGTATGAGTAACGGCAAGCAAACCTATCTCATGTGAAAGTGGTGCGTACTCAATATAGAAGCCAGCGTTCTAGGAATGGGTTTCAGAGAGAGAGAGAGAGAGATGATTCTGAGAGCATGGCCTACAACATTATACTTTCTGTCACTTTACATTCAAAAGTAATCAAGCATGCTTATTGCAGCTAGATCTAGACCCAAAAATGGCAGAAAAGATCAAGGCTTTCAGATCTTAGTATTCTTTTGTAAAATGTGAGAAATGAATTGCTTTGTCTAATGAGACTGAAGTTTGTAAAGGCATCCCTCTGAGGTCCTCTAGGCTTCCAGCGAGTTTCATGTGATCCATCTTCTAGATGGATGGATCACATGGCCCAGCATCGATCTTCTAGATGGATGCTGGGCCATTATCCAGTTCATTCCAAGCCTACAAAAGAGAGTCTACTTCAGGTTTTGTCTAGGCTTACCAATTGTATGACGACAAGACAGATCAAGCACTGCATCAAGTTCGTGTCGGGAGAGCATTTATGCCGACCTCCAAATTTCATTCACAGAACATAGTAAATCGTCACAGTTAGATCTAAATTTTCTCAATAGGCATTTATGAGGAGGACTGTTGTATGAAGCAATAGTCTGCAAAATACAGAGAATTTGTATCCTGGCAGCTAACAGATCTAACTTCGTTATACTCAAATTAACCTTCATGTCATGGATTGGCGAAGAGCATTGTCTAACGTCCCAACGACTTCTGAAATTTTTTTAAAACAGGTGCGACTATCAACCGAGAGTTCATAGGCAGACTAGTTTCAATAATAATTTTTACTTAGATTAAAAATCCATTGCTCATGTTCATGCCTCTACAACGAATGCATGCTCAGAAAAACTGAGATCTTGGAAATTTCAGTTAAAAAAGTGCAGGGACTTCGAAAACTCCCTGTCTGTCTGTCATGCGTATTGCATAGATACTGCATGATCGCCGTTCCAACAGGACCACATGTGCATGTGGTTATAAATCAACATATAACCTTTGGCTTTCGTACGTAAGCACCCCGGCTCCACAATGCGAGCGCCAACTTTGCTACTGCTTCTAGGAAATATTCACTAGCCAGTCAATGTCTGGATTCAGACAAACCTGGTTACCGACACATTAGCTGGAGCCAATCACGATACAAGAGTAAATCACATCAGTCGCTACATCTACAAGATACTGGTTACCGACACATTAGCTGGAGGCAATCAGGATACAAGAGTAAAACACATCAGTCGCTACATCTACAAGATACTCTCGTCTCCCGTACGAAGAGAAGAGTGCACACCGTTTTCAGATCTTGCTTTCAAGACCTGTCCACAAGAGCGATTAATAAGAACGTATGTCAAACAGCTGATCTTTGGAAATGTTCAACATAGAGCTCTCACATCTGGGGAAATTGGAAGAAGCAGTCGTTTTTTATGAGGTTGCAGACAGAAAGTGTGTCCGGCCTTTGAGAATTTTTGAGATCAATTTCAATCCTTCTATCTGCGAGCTGGTATGGAAATCTGAACGACCGACTGGGGAAAAGTGGGTTACAGCTTCAAAATTGTGAATACCCTCGAAAGACGATTAAATTACAGCCATTCAATTATGGCCAAGAACTTGTAAATTCGAAATGGATGATGCCTAGAGGCTCACGACAGTCTTCATAGATTTCTCTAAAACTAATGGAAGATAGCAGCTCCTATTGCAAGCAAACAATTATACTGAAATCTCTTCATCAGGTGCAGTTCATCCACACTTTTCTGTACAGTCTCGGGCAAGTGTCCACGTCAACTCTGCTGCAAGTAATGAGTAGCTAGCGCTTCTCGGATGGTAGACTATAAGCAGAAGCATTTAGGATCCGAGATGAATTGGATCGATACAACGATGGAAGAGTCTGGACCAACTTCACCTGCAGCTAATATGAAGATAATTATGCAGGTCACTTTTGATTGTGACCGAAAGACGTTCACCATGCAACTGTGCAAATGGACTTGAGGAGCAGCATGGTGGTGCTATGAAACTTCTGTTGCTAGAAACGCCCAGAACGTCCGAAATGCTGAATCAGATATCCGCGTGGAAAACATTTGCAGCAAAGCAAGCGTGGCCTCGTCCATCATGAAGCGATTGGTCATCGAAGCAGTTAGTGGCAAACGGTTTAAACATTGCGAATTCCTGGAGGGGTCTATAAACTTGTGATCAGATTCATGGAACCTTGGCAGAGTTAGATGTTCCTTACCCTTCTTGCTACCCTCGACTTATGTAGAATCTGCTCAAGTGTGTTCTGTCTACCCTCTCATTCTCAGTTCCATGGTTACCGTATTGGACGTCCTATGAACGATAGTCCTTTACATTTTAAGCTCGAACGCAATGGGCGCCCGATGGAGCATGAGATGCTTTGATGCGATACAGCAAATTATGTGCTTCAATCCAGTGATAGGATTAGAGTAAATGGGTCAAATAAACACCAGATTTCAAAGGAGATGCTCTTTTTGAAGGTGAAGATTTATCGGTGAGGGAATTACTTGTAATACGCAAACTTGATTGACTATACTGAAAAACGGGCCATTTCTTATTGTTTACACACCAAATACTCGGCATTTATAATATAAGAGATAATAATACAAGAGTTTTATTGTCCTTATCGTTATCATACAAGTTACCTCGCTTAGAAATCAATCGGTATCACATCAAACACAAGGTGCATGAATTCGTTGTTCTATATAAGTAGGCACACCATGAAGATCATTCTCAGATTGCCAATCTGATTGCGATGCAAAAGGATGGGAGTTATTGCTGATCGGTCAGGTCAGGAGGGATTCTGGTGAGGAGAGTGTCACTATCATCTAGCGTGAAGCAAAGAGCTCAAGCTGGTACCCGAGTCAGTTAGTTTCCGTGATTCAATTTGAGTGGCCCTGTGGTCAATTTCTGTATTTTATAAGGCTGAGAGGACATTCAATCATCTCGGCGAATGCTTTGGTGGTCAAGGATAATTCAATCTGATTGAAATCCTCCCTCCCTTCTGATGTTTTACTTTGTACGTTTGAGGGTTCTTGAGTTGACTATCAGATGTAACATTCCGACCTTCAGGCTGACGTAGGTTACTGCTGATTGCAAGGAACGTTATCGTGGGCCATTAAGGTGGAGCACATAGAAGTAATTCACTACCTGTTACAACCTGATCTCTTATCAACCGGGTTTTCGTCCACCCATTACACACCCGTTCTACACTCGTTATCAAAATATGGCTAATAGGCCTTGACGTTCAGTTAATTTTCAAATCATATCATCACATGATGATATG